CATAAGGATTTCAAATCTGACAAACATATAATCAAATTGAGTTTCTCGTTGAGATTCCTCCAATGAGCTCAAGATCACTCAAATCCCACATCATTAAGGCACTCAAATGTCCATCCAATCAAAGGAATCTCTCAAGGATATCCAATGGAGTGGTCCATGTTTCATATTTGTAGGGAGACCTCTCCCAAACTCTATAAATAGAGGCATACCTTATTTTTCAAAGGAAATTTTAACCTGAGCTTGGAAGAGGATTGAGAGAAGAATGAGTTGAATTCTTGTGGCATTTCTGCACGGGAGATCCTTTGAATGCTTCCCATTCTTGCAGCTGCGACCACTATTAACCATCACTTCTCGGCCTCCATGGACTAGTGTCGGTAGCCCTTTGCCCTTTACAATGAAGCCAGAGATGGACCTAAGTTTGACGCTGCATAGTAACAAAGCGTTGTGTGGTGCAACGACCAAAATCGAGGAGTAACGACTTCATATCTTACGAAGCTCCTCTCGTTCTAAATACATCGCAACGGCGCACCTTGAAGAGGATGCAATGATTCATGGACAACTACTCCCAAAGACAATCACTCTCGACTTTCGTGTAACGATTCTTTGGATATACAAAAATTGCACTTCAAAAACTTGTATAACACTTTCTCACCTGTGGGACTAAGGCTTGCACATGCACTCATCAGATTATAGTGGATTGTTCTGATTGGGCTAGACCCCGTGGTTTTTTTTTTCCTTCCGGGGTTTTCCAAATAAAACCTTCCGGTGTCTCTACCTATCATTTCTACTTTTTGACTGTGTGATGGATTGTCATACATTGCTGAAACAATAATCTATTACTCTACCAACACGAATTCTCCAACTTGCATCAATACATATACATATACATACATACATATAAAAACGAGGAGCTGAAAACCTGCACAAAAAAAATTGGCAACACTTAAAGTCAAAAGATTTTTATCTGAAATCCGGTAGAAATTATAACAACACAATATTTAATATTTACTATTCCAGCACATATTTGAGAATGAAAGTCAAAATATTAGACTGCATCCCACTGGATAGCATAAAAACAAAGTATATTTATACTTACCATGGAAACCTTGCAACCACTAAAAACATTCATGCATGCATGCATGCATGCAAGTGGACATTTTTTAAGAGGTCTTAGCTTGAAATTGTCCCTTTGAACTCAGTCATTTTATCATATTGGCTCTTTCCAACAAAATTCTTAAGTATTATCTTCTTCTTCACTTATATTATAAAAACCAATGAGAATTTGGTTGGAATCACTAGAACCCCTTATTATCAAGTATATTTTATTCTTTAAATCGATTTTGAAGCACAAAAATCTCAACATGACATAAGAATACTTGGCGGATAGAACATCTCATCACAAGTGATACAAGAATATATGTACTTGGTTTCATACTTGCTGTTAGTTTCTCTATGATTGGCAATGTATTGCTTTCACTTCAATCTTTTGTGCAGTCATCTGAACACTTGTAGCTAGAGTCAATGATTCATGTCGCTTGCCTTCTTATATTATCCTCAATTTTTATTTTTGTTTTTTCTATCACTTAAAGAAGATATTTCTTTCTCTTTATAAGTTAAAATAAAATAAGGTCATACAAATCAATATGTTGGTAAGCTACTAGAGAAATACAATCTCTTCATGTGGTATAAAAGAAATTGTCAGGATATAAATTATATTCACTTTTTCCCACATTATGTGTGTTGTGTTAATATGCTAATTAACAACATTAATTACATTTCAACTGCCTTTAGATTGGGTGTATTGGTGACAACTTATGCTATACTTCTCATATTCTATGATCATATAAATATGTCACATTATTGTGTTTGTATATATTATTGAGTAATTTGAGTAAGTGGATCAAATATACATTTTTTCTATTATTGACTTTAATGTAAATAGCAAGAGAATGAAAGGTAATACTATACAACTATCTATCTATCTATCTATCTATCTATCTATCTATCTATAACCAGAACTGGGTGGCCAAAAAAAAGCTAAATTTTAGTTTCATATCAATTAATAATAAAAATAAGTGTTATTATAGAAAATATCAAATGAATGACTTAGAGAAAAAATATTTGAGTTGAAAAAAAAAATTATAAAAGTTGTTTATCTGATTGAACTCCAAACTTCTTTATGTGCCAATTTTAATTATTAGTATTAAACCTTATGATTCATGTGGAATCAAGTGATTTATGCAATTTATGCCACTTATGAGTCTTGACACATTCATTGTGGTCGAACAAAATTTAAAAGTGAGTGATTTTTTTTCCTATTCATATTATTCTTCAAGTCTCTATGTTAAAACATAATGCATTTTATTAATGGGCTTTCTAACCTAGAACGATGCTCTCTCCAATCTAGTTAGGTATATTTATCATTGAGCTAGGTCTTGGATAACAAAGCCTAATCTTTTTACATGAAGTCCAACATCAGTATGCACTCCCTCATAGTAAAAAAGGCATAGTCCATTGACCACAAGTTTGTAAATTAAGATGAACATTGTCATGCATAATTCCTCTTCAAAGTAAGAAGTACAACGATCCAGTGAGATTATCATCCTAGTTGATTACTTTTATCTTTGTGACAAGTTTTATGAAAACACAAAGTTCAAGCGTTTAAAGAGTACCATAAGTTGAAAAGATAAATATTTTTTTTCTATCATTTGTATTTTATCTTAGCAATATTGGGTGAGCACTTAAAGGGTACCATAAGTTGAAAGACTACATTTCTCTTCAATTTAATTCTATGTATATTTTAACTAATTCTAGGTCAATAAAATCAAAATGTTGCTTTCTAATTCAAAGAGAAAATTCTAGTTTCAATCAAAATTATGATTGAGTATGATCAAGATTAACAAAAGAAAGCCTAATACCTTTCACCCTTATGCCAAAGGAGAGGAGTTCTACTAAGCATGCTATAAGTCACTTACATTTTTATGTGCATTTGAGTGGAACCTAGTCACTCTCTAGTTATCTTCACAGTGTTCCCTTTTGGGTCAAAATTTAAAGGTGCTACCACATAGGATCATCAAAGCATGCAAAGCCTTTGTTAGAAATCAAAGTTAACTAAGCGATCTTTAAAATTATTAAGCACAACCTATAATATGCACCACCCCCTTGCTGGCTATTTAGATTCTAAGTGACCTCCTAATTCCTAGATGCCTAATTATTTCAGGCAAAATGATTCTTGAACAAACTCTAAACTTGGAGAAAATATTACGTCTGATAAATAGGACGTGCAAACGATGGAGTGGATTGCACCACGTAGTCGTTTAACGGCATGATGCAATCCATACCATCTTCTGGACATTATATTTTTCCTAAAATTGAAATCCATAAGTACCTGTGTTCGGTACAACCTCCAAGGAAGTATAGAAAAAAAGCAAAGAAATTTCATTATTCCACACACAATTCCAATATATTACATGAATATCTATTTGTCATAAACAGAGCCCTTGATAGCTTACTCAACTATTTCTTCTAATTACCTTATAGAGTTTGATTACTCGACAAATAAATACATTAAAGTATACTAACTAAATCCAAGCTTCACCAGCCTTTTACCATATGCACCAACATTTATGGTTAATTAATTAGAATTGAAATTTGATTAGATTAGATTAATATTTTCTTTATTTTTGAAATATAACAATACTGTCTAATTTTCAAAGATATCAACTTGAATAGCAACATGGAACTCTGATCATCTTAGCTAAAGTGAAGAAGTCGAAAATCAAAAAAGAAAATCGAAAAACAAGAACACAAAAATTTACGAAGTTCGGCAATTTGCCTACGTTCTCGGGAGCAGAGCGATCTCAGTATTCAAATCAAATATATAGATAAAGTCCACATATAAAATTACACAAATACACCTGCACCGTATTGCGAGAGCATTGCTCCCGCACCCCCAACCCACTCAACGAAACTCCCCCAATTGAACAGATGCTTCCACTAACTCGCTTCGTTCCGCTCCAGCATCTGTCCCTTATCTGGTATTTGAGCCATATCTAACATTAGCCAACGAACAACCAAATTGTGATCCTGTAGCAAAATATTTCATCTATGAATGAGATGTCAGGGCTGTGCCACATGTGCTGAATCCAAGAGCACCACACTATAACGTTAGTAATATTCAATTCTTCTATTAAAAATCTTTTGTGATCTTCCCAATCATATATATATATTATGTTTATAAATATTAACGAAGTTATGCCTTGTCAATTTGTCATAGCTCTCATATCCCTCCAAAACGCCTGCTCATTTCACCTGGCTTATATAAACCTTTGTAATTAGTCGTCAATATAGAGACAATGCATGCATACAAAATACACAGCAGTTCTTTTTGCTGCGTACGTAACTCAATTAACCTTTTAAGCTATAACGTTCCCTTCCAAAAAGATTACATATTTACTATTATTATTATTATTTGGCCAAAAGGTTAATTATATATTAAATTTTTTTTAGTCAATTATTTCATTTATTTTTTCCACTAAATTTTGGTTTCTCCCCATGGAATAATTTATTATTCCTAAGTACTTTAAAGGCATTAATTTCTTCCATCCTTCCATCCTTTAACAAGGCTATTTGTTGATAGCATGTGATGTCCTAAAACATAAATTTGATAAATTATCCTTAATTAACAGATATGTTTAGCATTATCTCAGTAATATGATTATTTAACATATAATACTTGGTTTCATACAGGAAGCATGAATAACAACATATTAATTATCTATCATTAACACTAATCCACATGTAAATTGAAATTTAAAATTACTTCAGATTAAAAAAAAAAAATCTGATTAATTCTAATTTATCTTCTAACCAAAAAAAAAAAAAAAAAAACAAATCATAATTTTGAAACCCAAATAACTTCTACATATTTCTTAAATTATGCAATGAATCAATAGCTCATCACCATCATTATATGAAACCAATAGAAACCCTAGTCACCATCAAAGCCGAAGCTCCAAATCCAGTTCTTCAGCCCCAAGTTCTTCATCCTCCTTACTACTCTCGCTGCTTGTTCTCAAAGATCCCACTTTATCAAGTAGACATGAATCCTCATAAGTGCTACTCTGTGCAGCAAAATTTATTGTACCAACCCTAGAGAGCCCTGAAGAAGAAGCCATAGAAGCCGGTCCTGAATTAGCGTAAGTAAAGAAGAATCGGTTGCCTTCCGTCACCGGGGGAGCCGGTGTTGGGGAAGATTGTTGGTTGTGAAGTAACTGCATCTGTGCTCGGTCGCGGCGGTGCACGTTCATGTGGCCGCCGAGAGCTTGCGCTGAGCGGAACTCTCGGCGGCAGAAGGTGCAGGAGTAAAACCGTGGCGGCCAGGTAGTCCCCATGGCACTACTCCTGTCTTCTGCAAAAGCTCTAACCTCCCATGAGTCATCTTCATTTGCGGTGGAGAAGGTAGGAGGAGGAGAAGGCGGATGGCTGCCATATGTTAACATGGTTGAATTTGGTTCAGAGGAGGAAGAGGAGTTGGAATGGTGATGGGAGGAAAGA